CCCCCCCAACCACTCTCTCCCCTAATTGTTACTTTCCCACTAATGCTTCCCAATCAATTCCCCTTCCATTTGGGTGTGCCGCCCCCTCCTTACCCCTAATTTATGGTCATTCAAATTCAAATCTCCCCCAATCTTTCCTCCACTTAAAGCAGACATTAATTCCTATTAAACCCCAATTGATTCTTGTCTTAATTTGCATGCCACCTAGACAAGAAATCAATTACATAATTTTGTTAATTGATGGAATTAAATTCAGAGTTTCCTATTTACTGCCCTTCCTTACTCATCACCCCAAGTAAGGAATTAAACACCTCTCTAGGGCCGACCATAAGCACCCCCATCCGCCTCTTTACACTTCTTCTTTTTCGCTTGATATTTTCACCTAAGGAGAAATAAATCCTCCTCCCTAGGCCGACCACATCCCAACCGTTCCGGCACTTTAATCCCTTGTCGACTACAAGGTGTGTTGGCTTCAAAGCGCATCCAAGGACGATCAATGGCCGGATCCTGGAGAATGATGGAGTAAAGTCCATAAGCTTGAGAATTGTGAACTCTTCTCCTAAACCTTTTATCTTTAACTCCTCGATCGTGGCATCATTGAAATTATGAAGGCTTCTCCGCTTTGCCCCTATTATGAACGTGTGTGAGTGGGTGCTTATAGTGACTAATCTAATTGTTAATCTAGATATTTTCTTTGAAAGCTCCACATCAGTAGAGTTTGATTTAAATTGATTATTGTGTGCTCCTAATATTATCATCTAATTGATTGCCTGAGCTTAATTATTATCTTGTTGGTTTCAATCTTTTGTTAAATATGTGAGAAGTTGATTAATTGTTATTGTTCTTATCATGAGCTTGTAATTTCAAATTTAATAACATCACATGTGCATGTAGTCCTACATCACACTGTCTCTATTATTGCCTCCATTTTGTGCACTCCAAAGCTTGGAGATGTGGGTTGTAGCTTGATTCTTCTCTTTCTCCTCCTCCATCGCCTCACTAGAAAATAAGATGGCTTCTCTACCTTCGAAGCCACCAACTCAATTGTCGTGTTCTCTCCACCACCTCAAAAACTCCTCTTCCTTAATAATTCCATTAAAAAAGACAGGCCTGCTCTCTCATCCACTTGCATTGCTTCCTCATCACCATACTACAACACCATCACACCACAGCACCACAACATTTCCGATAGATCTCCTCCTCCGCCTTGGTTTACCCAGCAAAATAAACCGGAGCAAACAAATGAGTTGGGATCGAACTTTGCAAAAGAGCTCTAGTTTAGTTCAAGCCAAAGCTTAAACGACTAAATCTAGCTAGTCGCCATAATATAAGCTTTATTCAACTAGATTACACCCCTACATAAAACCTAAGCTAAATGGAAGGAATGCTTATGGTGCAAAAGGGTGACCCCCCAAAAAACATTCACAAAGCACAGACACTATGCTGGTTACTTATGGAAAAAAGTACATCATATATTTGGTAAAAATCATTCACTAAATGACTTGCGAAGTTTATATGTAACTGGTAATTAAGAACAAATGTTCTTTCAATTTCATGGTGGAGGAGAAGATCGAAAGAAGCAGCAGCAATCCTTTTCTTAAGTAGATACCCAATCAGACAATTTTCGAAGGAAAAAAATGTGATCTACAAAAACTGCAAGAAAAAATATTTACAAAACTTAGCAGAAAAACTCCAGCATGCCTGGGGAATTGTCAAAAAAGAACATTTAAGGCGCTAACCAGCATCTTAGACTTTCCACATACACTTGTAACTAGTTAAAGTATAAGGGTAAGGTTAATCATCGCAAGTGGGAGAATAAGACAAACCTGTGTACGTAGAAATCCTTGCACAAACCTATCAAAAGATCACACACCCAATAAAAAACCGGCCTAGATATTTAAGTAATAGAAAGCACCCGTAAAAGCCTTTAATTCAAATAAAAAGACGTTCACATACTCTGGGAACCGGCCCTCTATTATTGATGTGTGAAGGTCCTGGCTTAACTGCACAACAAGAATAATTTTATCAGAGTAGAACAAAAAGTACACAGAAAAAAATTGTCTAAACTCAAAAACGAAGAAAAAATATTTCAAGACGGTTAGTTTCTTAAGTGAAAATGTTAAGCATGAGCCAAACAACATGGCAATTTAGCAATGTGAACACGTCAGATGGATCAAACTGGTGCTAAATAGAATTAGCAAATGCATGCCCAATTTGTCCTAATGGCTTTTGTCAGGCTTTCCTGTAAAAAAAATTTTTCATTTTCTCACATGAACGGAAATCCCATAAGAAAAACCCCTTGCCTGAGCTTTTTCCTAAATTTTGCATTTGATACTCAACTAGGTGCAGGGGCAGAATCAGGATTTTTTTTACGTGGGGGCACAAATCATTAAAGTAATTAAAAAATCCTCAACATTAAGAAGCTCGATTATGCCTTAATACTCGACAGCTAATAAACAATCTTGAACAACCTAGCGTTCATGAACAACATCGTTTAGAGCTCATGAATATGTTCGTTAAGAAGCTCGATTATGTCTTATTTAATTAAAAATAAATATTAAATATACTCAATAATGTTATATATATAAAACATTATTGAGTATATTTAATATTTATTTTTAATTAAATAAGACATAATCGAGCTTCTTAACGAACATATTCATGAGCTCTAAACGATGTTGTTCATGAACGCTAGGTTGTTCAAGATTGTTTATTAGCTGTCGAGTATTAAGGCATAATCGAGCTTCTTAATGTTGAGGATTTTTTAATTACTTTAATGATTTGTGCCCCCACGTAAAAAAAATCCTGATTCTGCCCCTGCACCTAGTTGAGTATCAAATGCAAAATTTAGGAAAAAGCTCAGGCAAGGGGTTTTTCTTATGGGATTTCCGTTCATGTGAGAAAATGTTAATTTTTTTTTATACGAAAGCCTGACAAAAGTCATTAGGACAATTTGGGCTTACATTTGCTAATTCTATTTAGCACCAGTTTGATCCATCTGACGTGTTCACATTGCTAAATTGCCATGTTGTTTGGCTCATGTTTAACATTTTCTCACTTAAGAAACTAACCGTCTTAAAATATTTGTTCTTCGTTTTTGAATTTTGACACAATTTATTTCTGTGTACTTTTTGTTCTAGTCAAAAATTGATAGAACACCTTCCAAATATATTTTCTTTTCCCACTTTAAAGAAACCAGGCAGAGCAGCAAACTTGGGTTGGAGGGAAAAAATATGCTTACCCTCATCATATATGAAAGATTGTGATATGATAGAAGTTGAGAACCCATGGCATTTTTGGTAACAAGATAATGAATGTAAGCTCTTGTATAGTTCTTACATACCTGCAAAGAAGTATGTCAAATAAAAAAATCAAATGACGATGATAGATACGATCTATTGTTAGTAAGGCTCACCATACATATACATGTCGAATCAATAGGGCGTACATCACTGGCCATTGCCATGTGCGTCAACTTCAATATACCCTTAATAAGAAGCAAGGAAATCGTTAATAATAAGAACAATTTAATTTCCCAAACAGGATCAAGAACTGGAAATATCCTAAAATGAGGATGCATAAGAAACAAAGGTTTCGTTTGGGACGGCTTTCTTACTGCTTCTTAAAGAAGTTTTCTAGTAGAAAAAAATAAAATTTTTGTACTAAAAAGTTGTTTTAAGAAGCAGTAAGAAAGCTGTCCCTAACGAAGCCTAAATCATTGCAAGTCATGAAGCTTATGAACTAGGAATGGCAACAATAACATATTCGAAACTTTGCAAAGTTATAAGTTTCATCTTTCATTATTAAAACATTGTAAAATCAAAATAGTTGGAGCCCCTATATTTTTGAGCAAAGGCAGAGAGCTACGATATGCAGGTATGGTACCCCCCCACTCTCAAAGTAAAAACCCTTCAACCTAGGCCACAACTGCTCGCCTCAAACAAAACAATCATGAAAAGAGGGATCAAATCCCTCAGGAAGGATCAAAATTTCAAAATAATTGTATCGACGTGACTGACCTAAATTGATAATTTAGGCAAAATACATAGTAATTACATAGCGGCATCAATCATTCTTTATGCTAGGTTGCATTTGCCACATCTTCAGCCAAGCCATCGTAAAAGGGTATCAATTGCCTCCAAAAAGGGTTAAATTTTCCAATAATTGTGCTCGCATTAATGATTTTAATTGACAACCAAAGGCTGATACAGGCGAACAGCTTAATCATATTTATTCTATTAATTTATTTCTATTAATAAAAGTATATTATTCACTTTCGTTTTCATTTGAAAAGCAACAAGTCACTCATTATCATTGCAGCAAACTATCAACCTCAGGTGTTCTTAGATAATTTGCTAACTTCAAATCACTTTTTTCTTTACATATTATCCTTTCAAAGCCAGCAAATTTGACCTACTTTTACAATTTCATAAATCAACTTAGAAGATTTACTTTTCTGCAATGTTATTAATTATTCAAAAAAAAAAAGTTAATCACAAAGCGCCCTAAACATCAGGATAACTTAACGTTTCACATACATAAATGCTAAAACAAATTTTGTATACCTCAATGATGAATTAAAATTTTAGTTCTTCACAATGTGATTGAAAGTGGAACATATAGCTCAATGGATGAATTCACCTCAGGTACGAGTGCCGTGCCAAAGCGAGCAGTACGTGTAGGATAAACACAGTCATACATATCTGCACCTAGCGCACTGCAAACTACAATATCTAGCGGATAACCAACACCCTGCAAAATAGAGCAGACTGAATTTTGAAAGAGATAATCTTCAAGGGCAACATGAACATGCTTGTTAGCGTATTAAATTATTTTCACGTAATAAGAATACACACCATCACATAGCGAGGCTTATCCTCTGGTAGGGCAGCAGTGCATTGTGCTACAACGCGCCAAAAGGAGTCTTTATCTTCACCTCCTGCAAGACCGCCAATAGCATAGCTGTCAAGAAACCAATCAATAATATGAGCTCTTACATCATGGGTATATTATTCCTCAGCTGTTCCCAATGAGTTCAATGATTATAATGCAAACGTTATATTTTTTACCATTGTTTTATGAGCACAATAACGAAAAGGTGAAGATTTTGTACCGTTAGTACATGTGCAGTTAAAAAAAAGCAAATCAAAAGGTTACAAAGGCTCCACTTGATCGAATGTGGGATGCTTACTTTCAATTATAAGTATTGAGTGTGCACTTAAAAAAGCAAATCGAAAGGTTACAAAGGCTCCACTTGATCTCATGTGAGATGCTTACTTTCAATTATAAGTATCGAATCTTATTTGTGTCAAAATAATCATGTTTGATCAATTGTTCTTATGTCATTGCTTAGTATTTATCATTTACTCATTAGGAATGGCAAAAATTTTCCCATTATTTTTATTTTACTAGAATTAAAAAAATCAAAATTTATAATTATTATAATAATAAATAGGCTTTATGTTGTAAATCAGATAGTTGATAGCGAATTAAAAATAAGACTTTATTTTGTCATCTCCTCTAGCAATTGCTTCCCCCTTCTCCTAATCATAGGGCTTTATCATGCTTTCTTTTTGTTTATCTTTTGTCTCCTTGTTTATTTAAGGGATTCACTCTTCTGATTTTCTCAATCCCATTCTTCTATTAATCTCCATGGTTCTCCCACTACACTAGGATTTTCCCTTCTCAGCAATCTAGTTTCAAAAGTTTCCTACAATCCCCACTTTCATTGCCCCGCTCAAATTCATACTTCAAATAGAATGGCAACACACTATAGAGGGTATTGGCTCAACATCAATTGTGATGGAAGTTATCTTAGCTAGCAAACAGAATAATCCATTGTGAATTAACATACAGTTACATGCATGCATAAAAAAATCTAAACGACTGTTTGTACACCAAAAAAAAAAAACGTATGATAAAGTCGAGCATGTTCAAGTTAAACAAAATATTATAATCATGTAACCTTGTCCTCAAGTATGTTTAGTCATAGAGCTTCTAAGCAAAAAAGCATCATTTTATACAAAGTCAAGGATGCATTTCCATCATTATTTCAATTAAAGGTATTAACATAATTATATTGAGAAGGTATTAACAATGTTATAGTTGTAAAAGGAGACTAAAAAGTAATATGGTAAAGAATGCAATTTTTGTTTTTGAAAGGTGATGAAAGAAAAAATGATCCAAGAATGCCAAAAAGATGGCAATGGACAGTACAATGTCACAAGTGCGCCAGCGATATAATCTTGCCTTAACTTAGAAATATGTTAGCAGAAATGTTAAAAATTCATAAAAAATGGTAAAAAATGTTGGTTGCCGGTATTTAGAATCCGCATGTCATCTTAAATGCAATATATAATAAATTCAACATAATTAAAATAGTTTTTGTGCTTGATAGGTTGTAAAATAATTTCAAGCTATTCTTCTTTGTGTTTGGATAATTTCAAAGTAAATCAATATTTTAATTTTTTTCTATTAAGCTAGGGAGTGTGAGTCAATCGAGGTTGGGATCGTCGAAAGCAGAGACAGGAGTTGTTGCAGGTGAAGAAAAATGCAGGGACAAGGGCGAGGGCATGAGAAACAAGGACTTCAAATACACGGTCATCGCAGACATGGTCAATGTAGGCACGGTCACATAGCTATGATACACCAACACAACACAAGTCTGACACACCTCCGACACGTGTATTTCTACACCCACAACTTGATAGCTCATCTTTGTACGATGTCATCTTAACATCAACGACCAACGCCTCCCAACATCAACGACCGATGCTCTCTCGACATTGATGCCCAATACTTACCGCATAACATCAAATGTCTGACCCTCGACATCCTAATATTGATCATTTTAAGCCCAAATTCTAGTTAAATGATTTATTATTTTTAATATATATTTATTCAATGTTATACACTTTTTAAAATATAAAAACTATAATAACATGTCCAACCATTGTTCGTATCCTATATTTTTAATAATTGACATGTTCTGTGTCCGTGTTTGTGCATCATAGTCACATAGCGAAGGTGAAGGTCATCACAGGCATGGTCATTGTCACTTAGAGGAGGTCGAGGTCATCGCAACAGAGGTTGCAAGCAAAGCTTCATGAAATGTGATGTATTCAAATTGACGAAGTTGGAATTCACCAAAAATAAACTATGGGGTGATTTTCAAATTCTTCACAAAATAAAAGGGTTTGCATCACTCTCAAACAAACAGTCAAAGACTCAAAAGCCCTACACTTGATGCAATACACTCAAGACCCTCCAACTAAACAACCGTTAAGAGAATTGTTGGAATAGTTACTGACAATTATCAAAAACTGTATCATCATTAATTGTATGTGAGTATTCAGAAGTCAAAATAAACTCAAACAAATATATTAAGGTTTCATTTGTGACGGCTTTCTTACTACTTTTTAAAACAGCTTTTTAGTACAAACATTAAAATTTTTGTACTAGAAAACTGCTCTAAGAAGCAGTAAGAAAGTCATCCCAAACGAAGCCAAGTATAAAAAAGTGATAAAAGCTATAAATCATATACTAGTAAGGTACATATTTGGCCCATCTAGATAACATTAAAGACTTTCATCATTTTGTGTAAAATTGTACATCTGTCTTGGCAATTCCAGTAAAGCCATTGAAAAAAGATCAACACTATAAGAAGTCTGAAAAGAGTACAATGAAAACGTAAGTATATCATACCCCGGTAAATTGCGACTAACCAGGCCCTTCACGCATATATCTCTGGAAAATTCAGTTTATTAGTACAAGTGAAACAACTAACATGAAGTCCTGAAATCTCTTTATGAATTTCCCAACAGTTGCAGCATGTAAATTTATTCAATCACGGTTACAACGTGAGAAAATTAAAATTTACCTGAGAGTCGGATCAAGTCCTCCCTGTACAATACCGAATAGGTTTTGCACTTCAGGTCTTTTATGAGCTGCAGTTAGCATATGCAAAAGGTCCAAAAGCACAAAAAGATCATCAATAAAACACTATCTAGATAGAATGTCATAGCACTGCATCTCATTTCACCTAAATAGATTTAACCTTGTCCCAGCTTTCGTACTGCTTTCTAAAATGACTTTCTAGTATAAAATTTTCTAATTCAAGAAATTTTTATACTAGAAAGCTATTTTAAAAAGCAACAAAAAAAGCTGTCCCAAACGAAACCTTAATGATCCATATATGACAAGTATGAAAAAAGAAACAGCTCAAAAAATGAAAACATCAACTTTTGATCCCATCGTTAACCTTTAATTGAATTAAAATCAATAACAGCACAAAAAACAGATTACTAACAAAAAAAATTTTGGAGGTGATCATACCAGCTATGCATCTATCAATCCAACGAAGAGTTCGATACATAGCTTCCTCGATTCTAGGGCCAGTAATTGTGGTCTTTACAACATCATCAAGAGCCATGATGATATCAGCTCCTATTTTGTTCTACAATGAAAACTAACAGCGAAATAAAATACAACCAATAGAAAGGTTTGGAAAACAAAAAGAAAAGGAGGACGCTACCTATACTATCTGTATATTTTAACTTGCTGACAGAGAACCATTGGTCCGAGCAATGGGACAATGATATTTAGTAAAATTTAGATTAAAAAAAAAAGGAAATGGATTCATATTGAGTGGTTAGCATCATCAATTTCATAAAAGAGAGAATTTTAAGGAACCTGGAAGCTTCATCATATGATTCATATCATTAAGCCCTATCCTACTATTTGGAGCCACGTTTATGAATCTATATTTTTCATTTGTTCTTGCAAAGTTGTAACAGAGGAGTTAAACTTATTCTTCTCAAATCATCTTGCACAACTTCAAGACATGTGACCTTGAGTTTACCAATTTCTATTCTAATACGCAAATTCTTTATTTTATGTATTGTCTGAAAAGCAAATTTTTTGCCCTTCATGATGCATGTCTTACTCAAATCAACCTATTATTTGTTATTTAATGAATTTTTATAATAATATAAACTTTTTAAAATTAATTTATATTGTGTGGCATGTTTAAATGGTGCGCATCGTACCCTACATTATGCATCATGGCTCCATGGGGAACTTTGCACCATAATGAGCCATTCGGGAGTAACTAATCATCGAAGCTTCTGACTATCAAAAACCTCAAACTAGATTATAAAGTCCTCATAAAATGAAGGCGAAACCTCTATGTAGTGCCTTATCTACAACATAATCTGTCTTCTAAAAATTTGATCAGAAAATATAAAAACTCTCTCAATAGTGCTGGGGTGCAAATTTTAGAACTCGTAGTTGGTAAATCAGCAACTAATTCAATAATGACAAAATACAAGCAACTTCCAGATGATGTTGTTAGAACCAAAAGTCCTTAAAAAAACATAATGGTAATGTGCGCAATGAAATACATTTTTTACCATGAAATTCAATTTTTAAGCAACTAAAGCATCATAAAGTGTTTACCTGGATGCGGATTGACTCTTCCGGAGTTAATAACATAGGTTTACCATCAGCAGGAGACTGGTAAAATAAGCATAGAACACTAAGAGTTATAAAGGAACGCCAATGCCAACAGAAGATGAAAAGTTCTGCCTCTTAATTAAAAAAGAAAAAGGAAAGTGAACTGGAAACATTAGGCGTCTAGCTCCATACAAAACAATGACATACCAGGAGGAACAGGTTTTCAAACCAGTTAAAAATAGGTTTTGGAAACAATAATAATTATAGTTCTAAGGGTTGGTCTACTTCTTGAAACAACTCATTGATAACCTCAAAAAGCATTCATGTAGTATGCATAAAAAATCAGTAATTACTTGCTAAATATTATGAAACTAAAGAGTCAATAAGGCTAATCAGTTTAGTATTCGCACATTTAACTTGATAATGAAACCATAGAAAATGATTTGACAAAGATCTTGAGGTGGCCTAGGGACAAAGCAGAAGCTTAGCACACAACTTCAGCTTTTACATTCTAAAATCTATATGAAGGATTCCTTCAGGCAGATCTCATGACAGGTAGAGAAAGAGAGTTAAGAGTACCTGAAACGTTACTCCCTCTTCAGTAATATCAGCCAAATGCAACAGGGAAACCTACAAAATGAAAAAAAGCAATATCATGTCGTGGGTCTCAACAACAACCAATCTTAGCACAAGCACCAACAGTTGAAAAAAACTTTTGCAGCAGGAATGTGTAAGAACTGGTAGCATGTAACTGTCTGCTAAACTCGTGGGCATTCTATTTATTGTTTCATAAGGAAGCTTTCAACTTTATGGTTATGTTGTAAACTATATGCATCAACTGCTGGCTCCCACTAAATTCTAATATAAGGTGCATTTGCAAATTAGACGTCAAAACCTGTGATAAGCATCGAGGGTACCCAAGGGTGAATAAAAATGAAAAATAAAATGATCAAATAAGTACAAAATAGGTTGTAAGTTATTACCATAACTAATAGCCCATAACAAACTATTTATAAAATCTTTAAATTTGGAGCTTAGATTTTTTTTCATTTTGTATGAACTATCATCAAAATGAAATTTTCTATTATTATGAATGAGTTCACGTCAGTTTTTTGTGTTTTCACCAAACAAAAAACCATTCATAATTACTTACAAGACATAGCTTTGAAATATTTGCACATAGGCCCATCATTTTTTCAGAAATTGGATCATCGCTATTTCTACTGGTAGCCAATTAGATTCATTTAACACTTAGTGAATTTTTTTGCACTTTTTTTTCCTGCAATTCGGACTAAAATATTGTTTCTTCTCCTTTAAAATTTCAGCCCCTCATTAGCTAATCCTTAAAAACCTCACCAACATCCCTAGCACCTTCTCCCTCCACTATAACAGGCAGCAGAACAAGTGAGGAATGAAAAAATCTTATGAACAAACTGGTATATTGTTGTCCTAAATGAAAAAAATTGATGACAATCTAAAAAACTTAACAAGAAAAATAAAAAGAACCAGCAAGCAAACCACGTCTAAAACAAGGAACCAACTTTGGGGATCTCAAAAAAAAAAAAAAAAAAAGGCTAGTAACAACGAACAAAAAAAGAGAGACGTATATTATGCATTAAACACCAATGAACCCAAAAAAAAAAAAAACTACTAGGAAGAACCGCTTCTCCAAACAAGATCAAGAAGCAACAACAGGTAGTATAATAGACATAAAAATAATTTCTCAGACCAGTATAATCTTTCAGAGGCCAATTAAACTACCAGTATCAATAGATGGTATAAATGGGTAAGAATTCTACATTCAAACTTTTTGTTCTTTATCCACAAACGCTTCATTCATGACTCCAACAATACCAAAGTATTAATAATGATGCATTCTTTAGCATTTTGGAGAAAGTTAATTGCATATTTTACTTCTTCAATCGCACCATAATCCTCTAATTCATTTTCAATCATAAAAGGTCATTAACATATAAAAAAGGGCCTAATTCAGCATGAAACTCACCTAATTCAGGCTTTATGGAGGGATTGATGTACAAAGCCTTGCCCCATTGTTTGCAAAGAGGTCGAATCCATAGTTCAGGACCTCTATATCACAGTAGAGAAAAACCAGTACTCTTAAGTCTATCTATGCCATAACCCAAGATCCTTCCCATCATTTAATATTCGTTCTAAACCCTCTACATAAAAGCACAACATGCCAGTTGCGACATTAAATGGCATGACCAATATGATAACTTAGGATGCAAGGACAAGAAAATGTAAACAAGAAGAGCACTAACAGCTGGAGGAAATATTGCACGCCAAGGTAAATTAAAAGAATATGAAGGAGAAAACAACAACCATTTGAAAACCACCAGAATCAGTAAGTAATGCTCTTTTCCAGTTCATAAATTTGTGAAGACCGCCGATATCATCTATCAATTCAGCACCAGGATGAAGAGCCAAATGGTATGTGTTCCCCAAAATGATCTGACAACCAATTTCCTCCAGCTGGTTGTTAGTTAGACCCTTTATAGAACCTAATAGAGCATAATCAATGAAGTTAATTCCAGTGACACATAAGAGGAAATTGATCAACCCAAATTGAAACACAAAACAGGGGTCAGAAACTCAGAAGTCTATCATAGTATGCATGACACTATATCATGCCTGAGGAGCATTAGCAAAAGGGCCGTCAAAAGAACCATCCCGGCCCTTTCATAGCCGGATTGTTATAGAACAACAGAAGCAGCTAGTCATAATTTCAGTCAATGGTTAGTCATTCAAAGGCCCGAAGTATTGTGGACTCTCCGATCACTGTAGCTAGAAGAATGTCTGCTTTATAGTACTTTATAGAGCAAAATAAATTGGCAGTTAGAAAGCATTGACAACTAACTTTAAGTTGCAACGAGTTTTCACTTCACAGCAACATAATGTCCGCATGCACACAAAATAAAAACAGATGATCAGATCAGCATCTCAGGATGAAACTAAGGTTTCGTTTGGGCGGCTTTTTTATTACTTCTTAAAGTTATTTTTTAATATAAAAATTAAAATTTATGTATTAGAAAACTGCTTTAAGAAACAGTAAAAAAGTCGTCCCAAATAAAGCCTAAAATTGATGATATTTATTACGTAAAAGAATTGGAGAGACAATCTGAAATCCACATAAACGGTAACATTTCAACGTGGTTTGCCTGCAATAAAAGCATTTAAATCCCCAGGAAATTTTACTAAAAAGATCGTACTATTACAACGTAGTAACCTTGTGTCCCCACAGGCATAAACCGTGGTGTTTGACATGTAAAATGAGGGAGTGCTAATTGAGCTGCCCGTGCACGATTAAACCTCCCAACAATCTGCCATTTAAATTGAAAAAGAAATAATTAATTTTGAGGAAAAAATGTCTTCATTCTACGAAAAAGTAAAAAAATACCAAAAACTGCTCCATAGCACTGTGCATAACAGACGGACAAAGAACATCTAGATTCATGGCGTGTAGGTTCAAATTTTTTACAATGTTTCATTGATGCTCCCAAAAAAAGAATTTTGGATCTCAGCTGAATTCCTTCAATGTGCAGTAGACTAAGAAAAGGACCGATAATGCTTTTCAAGAGAAAAAAGCCTATACAAAAATAATTATCTCCTAGTGAGAAAAAGAGAAGGGTCAAAAAATAATAAAATATAAGGGGGAAGTTGAAGACTATCCCTGCTGTAGGGTCAATAGAATCTTATTGGGTTGTGATGAAAGGGCTTTCTGGGAGTTGGTAAAACAGGAATTTAGATTTTGAACAGATTTGGAGCTGAAACTTCTAGCCTGTCAAAAGACAAATTTCCCTTCGGAGAATAATAATGAGCAACTCGAGATCAAATGTTTGCAATGTAAAGGAACAAATGGTGATTTTTTATGAGTTTTGGATTAGAAGTTGAAGAGATATAATATTTTTGATTTGATTGCTCACAACAATAAAATGTTTCTTTGTATTGAGATTTTGGCTAGGGCATCTTATGTATGAGTGTCAATAATTGACCCGACCGGAACCCAACACGAAAATTTTGGGTCCGAGCCAACCCATTTAGAAAATGGGATGAGTTCGGGTTTTCATATTTTGACGTAATTGCAATTTCAGGTCAACTTGAAAAACCCAAAAGTAGCCCAAAACTGACTCGGTTGCTTAGGTCTAACTAACTCGAAATGGCCAAAGCCTACTGACTTTGGGATTATCATTCCAAAAAAAAGAGCAAGTGAGCGTGGGAAGTTTGTTTTCATTTTTTAGTTGGAACGAGGTAGGGAGAGAGCCAGGGAGCTGCATTTTTATTTTATTTTTTTCACGCCGGGAGAGGGGGAGGAGGGGTCTTCTCTTCTTCCGGTGAAGGAAACAGAGAGGGAGGAAAGTTGAGAGCCTTTCTCTATCTTCAACTACTATTGTTTTGTAGGAACCGCAGCCGTTGCCATAAGGCAACAGAGGGGAGCAGCTAAATGGTCCTCTGCAGATTTTATAAGTTCTAGATATTGTGCATATTTTGCTATATAAATTAATAATTGATACTCTGCTATAAATCAATATGTATTCGCCTGTTAAATCTTGACAATAATGTAAGATGAAAAGATCTTTGTTGTGTTTTCTTTTCCAATGATTATTAGATATACTTTAGTGGTCTGGGCAATGACTTAAGATCTTGGAGCCATAAGCATAGTTCATCCTAAAGAGACAAAACAGCTCTATTTCCTTTCAACTTTTTAATTCAGGAATTGATCTTGTTGATGATTGTAGCAACATTTCCTTAATGTTTGAGATTTCCTTTGTAAATATTATAATTTTTTTCAAAATAAATCAATCAGCCAAAATTAACTTGAACAAGTAAAAAAACAAAGATAATTTTGGGTCAAGTCTGGTTAGAGGTGGGTCAAGTCCGGGTCTAGGCTTGTGACCCATTTCACAAACCGGGTTGGGATTGGGTTGGGTGAATTGAAGTCAGGTCAACTTCGGGTTGGACTCAAACCCGACCCGAAAACTCATTTTAACACCCCTAATCTTATGGTTATTGGGGTGTTAAAGCCTTGAAGGGTTATGAGGGATATATGGGAATATTTGGAAAAGTTTAGAAAAGGTTGGATAGATTTTGGGTTTGAGAAAAGCTAGGCTTGCAAGCAGTACATTTTGTAAGAAAAACTTTCGTCACAATTTTAGACGACAATTGTTGAAGGAGCAGCTGGTGGCAGGTCCCAACTACGGTCAAAGAGGTCTTGCAACAAGCTTTTTTAGACAAATCCAAAAAGTTTTCAATGAAATCACTAAAACTCTATGTACAATGTAAAGTAAAAAAAGATAGCAAATAATTGGGATGGTTTTACGATTATAATGAGGGTTCACATAGGAGTATAAAACAGGGGAGGAGAGCCTTTTGACTTATTTACTTTGCTGACATAAAGTTTATAGTCTGTTGAGACCAATGATAAATAAATAATGAGAAATTATAAGAGAGACGGAGAAGAAGAATGTGACAATGTAAGTAGTTTGACTGCATAGACCTCCATCCAGTGTTAATTGCAATAGCACTTCCTTTAAGTCAGGTAGAAAAAACAATTACAACTCCTCAGCCTATCTCTAATTTTCTTCATTAAAATGGGTTCGGATGCATCAATAAACCATAAATTGAAAGTCACTCAAAAAGGCAAAAATATCCCCTTTATTAAAAAAACAATAACATTTAGAGATTAGTCTTAGCCACTAATTGGGCAATGACATGAAGACATTGTGGCCAACATATCTGAACATTGTTGTGGTATTGAGCACCAAGACTAAGGTTCATGGCATCATGGCTAAGCTGGTGGTACAAATTGTGAGCTTGTTGGAACATGGCATATCAACGATTGTAGGTGACGATCGATGATGCCTTATAAGGGGAAACTAGTTGATCAAATGACAATCAGAAGCAAGTTCTTTGTCAATCGAATTTTTTAACACGTCAAATTTCTAAATTTATTTTACTAAAGTTCCATGCCCATCAACCCATAAGGAGCGTTGAAAAAATCAGACCCCCACATATACCACATGGACTTTCAATATTGAGCACAAATCACGAGACATGACAATCAACTCCAAAGCTAACATGAAATAAGCTTCCTTTGTCTATATGGGGCAAACCCCTTAAAACCTAATAATTTAAGGCAAGAATGGGAGTAGAGAAAACCATATGGAGGATCTCCCTTTGTGGATTATGTTACTGATTTATAAGAGGGGATGGTAGTTTTAATTATTGTTCACAAAGGTTGTTTTTAAATTGTCTATAGTTTTTAGGCCTTGTAGAAGGCTCTATTTATCAAATTTAAACCCATAGCTTGTCTATTTGCTTCCTCCTCTAAAAGAGAGAACAACATTGTCAAACCCTTGCCATAGATGTCAAGTAATGACTGTTATGAATGTCAGTTTGGTTGTGGCCTCATGACTATTATGTTTCACTATTTTTATGCTCAGTATTAGTATTTCCTAATAATTTCCAGAGGAGTGTGTAATGATGTGGAATACGTTGGGATAAGAAGGAATCCATAGAGCAAGAAACCCAAGCCTTTCAAGCAGTTATATCCTAGCCATACATGTTGTGGGTCTTCAAAAGGGTGTTGCAAGCGGGAGTCAAAATGCAAAGGATGCGATTGCACTATCCTGTAGGACAAAACAGCCGTGGGCCTTCACACTGTACGCAAGCAGGCCGATGGGAGAGCAGATTAAATTATGCATACAATTATCCATGAAGAAGAGCAGGTTTCACCTACACATCTCAATGGTTATGCATAACTCGATAATCATGAGATTCTCCCATTCTATTCATATGCTCAAATGTGGTTTATTTGATGTGGGCGTCAGTTTCCCACGAGCGCAAACCACCGTGGTTAATTACATCCTAGGCCCCAACCTAAGAAAACTCTCGATCATGGATGTTATTTTATTCTCTTCTAGGCTTGGCATTAGTGGAATATCTACACTCTCCAAATCCAAGGGAAAATAGGCTCAATCAGACTATTCATCATGCATGAATCATATAGTCACTCAGCTGATCCAAAGACGATAAATCTGGGAAAGAGACATCACACTCGAAGCATGTGTGAGAGAAAGATGGAAACGACGTCATCAGTGTGACGAAGATGTGTGGAATTTGCAGCCTACAAAAAGTGGAGAATCTACCCAATGATAAGGTGTACAACGATATACATATACCGCCAACTTTTGGCCGTAGATCTACAAGGGACGTAGACACCGCGAGGGGACTTATAACCTAAACCCCACCAAGGATCTAGACAGACCCGACCTGGATTTACCATCGTTCGATTTAATTTCTTGATCTGCCAAGGGATTTGAATTAGATGAAAGTCAATTGGAGTTTTAACTATAGATAATCGGCTCAGTATTTGAAGATTGGGCTGAAATTGGGTCAAGATTCGACTCAATTCGAGTCAATTTGAGCTCAATTTGATTTGGTAGAATTAATTTGAGGAAATTGAACCCAAACTGACATTGGTTCGAGCCAAATCGAGCCCGACGAGGACCGATCGACTCAATCAAGCACACTCAAAGGGAAAATACACGAAAATGAGGTCAATACATGTGGCATAAGAACAACATCACATTAAAACACGTGTCTCCTCTACAGCCTTTTTTCTCAATCTCAATAACTCTTCTCGTGCCCAAGGGCTCCTAAAAATCCTTCTTGAGTCTCCGGAATCCTTCTAGTTCTCAATAGTCCTCTCATACTCAACACAACCCATTTCAGCCTCAACAAGCCTTAAATCCAGCTATTTATTATGCGATACAAAGAGGTTAGGGCAGCCAGCATGTTTTACGTTCAGCAAAATGTTAAATATTTGCAAGGACAAAAATAACATATTAAGATATTTAGCAGAAATAGCCTTTTATAAAAAAGGGCTGCCAAATAATATTACACCGAGGTTAATCAAAAATATTAATATCAAAATTATATTGCACCAAACAAACCAACCGCACAAATGCTGCATCTCTCAGCTACACCAATAGCTTATTCAAGATTTTGAGCCTTTTTTTATTATTTTAGCAAATTCTTAAACTCTATGGTATGATAAATCCAAATTAAGAATCCTAATAAATAGTAGGTGGGACACTAAACCTAAGACTCGCATGAGAAGAACATATCATCAAATATTCATAAGTTAACAAATGTTCAAAGTTCATTTATACAGAGGTTCGGTTTGACTTCATACCTCGAATGAAAGAGCCATTGGAAAACAATTCTGCAATAGTCTGAAAGTACAAAGTAGCAGTTACATTAGCTTGCAGGCCTGCGCTTAAAAAACAAAATATAAGTTTAAGTAGGATTTATGCCGGATTTACGCTAAATCCTGCCAAACGGAAAAAATGGATGCTTTAATCCGCGCCCAGTGTAAACCCGGATTTGCCGTTTTTTTTTTGCTGTAAATCTCGGATTTACTAAATCCCTTTAGTTCGGCGGATTTACGGGAATTAGGGACTACCGGATGTAAGGACTTGCGAATAGTTCTCGCGGTTGACGTGGAGAAAGGCGGTTACCTTCGCAGCGAGCGAGCTCCCGTCGTGACTTCCGATCCTACGTCGTGGAAGGAGGTTTTACTGACTCGCACTACTTCAAGCGTAGCCCGGGAGGCCTAAGCAGCAATGAAGAAATGCCGACGAGGAAAGAGAAAGAGATGGAGATGATCAAAAGCTAACCCTAAACGGCCTCCATCCTAAATTAGAAATACTAATATTTGATTAGATTAATTAAAGAATTAGTACTACAACAATATCACCAAGCTTTTGTTCCACTACGTGAGGTTGGCTACATAAATCTTTTTTCTCTATTGTGTCCTGTTAAAAGTAGGATTTTCATTTAAATTTAATAAAGAAATATCATTTTTCTAATATTTTCTAACCAAGTCTTTTTAGGTCTACATCTACCTTTCTTAACATAAGTCAAATCTAATACCTCAACTCTTCTAACCAGGTAGAAGGCCTCCGTTTAATGTGACCAAATTATCTAAGGCGACTCTATCTAATCTTATGTTCTGCTAGAGCTACTCCAACCTTTTCACGTATATGCTTATTTTGTATCCTATCTCTAAGGGTAAAGCCCCTCATTCACCTAAGTATCCTCATCTCTGTAGCACTTAACTTACTATTATGCTTCTCTTTTAATGGTCAACATTCGGCACCATAAAGCATTGCAGGTCTCACCACATCTTATAGAATTTTCTCTTAAGTTAGAGGTGGACTTTTCTATTGCATAACAAGCCCGATGCATTCCTCCTCTTCAAACATCCAACTTGAATTATGTTGATAATATCACATCTATTTCACCATCACTCTGAACAATAGATCCAATATATCTAAAATTTGTACTCTTATTAATTACTTGATCGTCAAAAGTCACAATCCCCTCACTAGGTCTATTGCTACTAAAATTACACTCAATATATTCAATTTTAGATCTACTCGAGCGAAAACCTTTAGACTCTAAGGTTGACCTCCATAATTCAAGTTTACTTTTAACTCCCTCTCTAGCCTTATCAACAAGAAGATTATCATCAACAAAAAAATATACACCAAGGTACATCATCTTGCAAATGTCTAGTGAGGACATCCATGACTAAAGCAAAAAAGATATGGGCTTAAAGTTGATCCTTGATGTAATCCAACTGAAATAGGAAAATACTTGGTCAAACCACCTTGTATTTGAACACAAGTAATATCTCCTGCATACACATCTTTAATGATTTTGATATGAGCATTATTAACTCTATTTTTTTTTCAAGAACTCTCCAAAGCACTTTTCTTGGAACTTTATCATATGCTTTCTCTAAATCAATAAACATCATATATAGATCCTCCTTATTCTCTCTATATTTCTCCATCAAACCTCTCAATAAATGTATGGCTTCCATAGTTGACCTACCCAGCATGAATCCAAATTGGTTTTGAAAAACATCAGTATCACGTCGCAACATACACTCCATAACTCATTCCCATAGTTTTAAAGTATGACACATTAACTTACTTCCTTTATACTTTGCACACTCATGAGCATCATCCTTATTCTTAAAAATAAAAATTAACACACTCATTCTCCAATCATATCATCTGACATCTTTTTAGTCTTAAAAACAGTATTAAAAAGTTTAGTAACCCAAGAAATTCCTTCATCTCATAATTTTCACATCTATATTGGAATATCATCAGGTCCAACAGCTTTTCCACACTTCATTTTCCTTAAAGCCTCTCTAACTTTGGTTTTACTAATACGCCGATAAAAACAAAAATCTTTATTTTCATTTAGTGTGCTAAAGTCACTAAAGTCAATCATATTTTCACATTCTTCATTAAAAAGTTTAGCAAAATATCTCATTCGTATTTGTTTTATATCATCCTCTAAAAAAAATATTTTTTTGATCTTCATCCGTAATACACTTCACTTGAATTAACTAAATCATTACTACTCCTATCTCTTTGTTTGGCTAATTTATACATATATTTTTCTCACACCTTAGTATCTAATCTATTATATAAATCATTAAAAGCTAAGTTCTTTGCATCGCAAATAACTTTCTTAGATTCCTTACGAGCCTATTTATAACTTTTCCAATTATCAGAATTTTTATAACTAAATCAATTTTTATAACAAATATTCTTATTTTTTATCTTTTCTTGCACATTTGGATTTTTCCTTCAAAACACCAAACACATCTTTTGCAATATTCTTAATATCACTAATCACTTTTTCCCATATAACATTAGCATCCTCATGCATAGATAAAATTTTAAGATCTAAAATCTTACTCTCAAAAATACTTTTATTAATATTTTTTAAATGCCCCATCTAATCCTATAAAATTATTTTATTTTATTTATTATTTTTTTCCCTTTATCTTAATGTCTAAAACTAATAATAGATGTTTGTTACATAAATTTTCACTCGGAATAACTTTATAATTTTTGCAATCTAAATGATCCAATTTTCTTATAAGAAAATAATCAATATTATTATTCTCCATTGATTGTACAAAAATGACATGAAGACTTCTTAGAGGAAGTATGAGAGCATTTTCATAGTATTTCAATATCCATATTTTAAAGTTCTTCTAGAAGGCGTAACTAGCCTATATACAATATACAATGTTCAACAATTTATGCCTACATATATTATACAAGAGAGATGAGAAATGAATATTCTCCATTGATTATAATTAAATTATATGAAAACTTTTGATAGGAAGTATCAGGGTTTTCACTAACTATTTTAATATCCATTTTTTAAGTACTTTTATAATTTGAAAGAAGATAAAATTCATCTACATCTCCCCCCTTTAAAAAATGTGTCGTGCGGATGGATTTCATAGATTTAAAAATCTTTAAATGTTACACACTTATCGATTGTGAAACTAGCGTCAACGAGTAAATATGTGGTCGATGCACATGGATGTATCCGAAGAAAGGTGATGATGAGATCCCTGACATTGAGCAAAGTAATGAATACTGATTACTGAGTTGTAGGAGACAATTTGAGTTGGTAAATTTAAAGGCGGTGCCAACTATAACCGAAAAGAATCCAAGAAGATTCTATGTAGATGTCAAATGGAATTTTCAGAGGAATAAAAATACTCTATCATGAGAGAATTTTGAAAGTATTTGAAAGTCAAGCAAACTGCGTCCATCTATTGTTTCCCCCAACCTGGGAGAAACTGAATGACACGTGATTATGGTGAATGAGATCTCATCTCATAGTTGGATTTGAATTTTGGTCTCATTTTGAATGTTATTTTTTAAGCTACTTGGCTATGAAAAATGAGAGATGAGGGGGCTTTTTAGCTTCTCATGTAATTCTGAGTACTTCAACATCATTTTCACTTCAGTGTTGATTTTAACCTTTTATATCGGTTGGTTAAAAGAAATTAGGAGGGTTCCCTAGGGAAATCTTCAATTTTTTTATGTTGGGTATTTTATTTATTTGAAAATTTTCTCAATAATGCAATTTCAAAGGTGTTTTTTGTAAAGTATTTTTAACAATGATGGCTTTGTTTCTTGAAACAAAGTAATTTCATGTAAATATGCAAATGCAATACTGAGGTAAAATATGCAATTGTTTTTTTCCCATGAATATCTAGCCCTTTTTCAAAGAAGTATATCGTCAACATCCCTATGATATATCTCTCTAAAGTTTATTGAGAATTTAAATAACGAGGATCATTGCTCAAGCCATATAATTATTTCCTTAATGATTAAATGAGCCCTTGCCTATTAGCTTATTAGGTTTTGCCCTTTCATGAGATATGCTGTTCTGTAAGTATTTGAAGATGCAGTATCTTTGTTAATAATTTCCATTGGCTTTTGCAAATCAATACTATTCACTTAACATAAGTGCAAGGTTGTCTAATTAATTGAATTGATTATATATATATATATATATTGTTTTATTTATTTGTTATTGTAAAACTAAGACAAAAATCAACATCATTTCCTTCAGGTGTGGGAGTGAACCTTAGGGATTTACCCAACGGGTTTGAATGAGGGAGAATCTACAAAGTAAGAATGCAACACCTACTTGCGGTATCTCTTGTTAGCGGCTGACCGAGATGAAAAAATTCCTTCTTGTTCTTGCTTGTTTTTAGGATTGAGATGTCCTGATCAAATAGACGAGCATTTTAAAAAAAGCTTTTTCTATTGTATGTATTCATATTCTTTGATAATTTGTCAGTCTAACCTATTCTATCAGGTGAAGCTTTAACATGAGCTACTGGCAATATATTTGATTTGGAATAAAGGAGTGAAAGGCTCATGAAACTTGTACGAAATTATTACATCAAAGGAATTAGATTTTTGAGGAATTGGAGCTTTGCCTGATCTAACCAAATACCAATGCAAAGTGTATGGGAAAATAGTGTAAATGCTTTAGATGGAATGCCCTAAGGTTCTAACCAACCTTGGATTCCATGCCAATTGGAAAAGAGAGATAGAAGCTGGAGTAACCTCATTGGCCAAAATGTGTGGAAGAAAAAACTGAGGAAATTCTTTCAATAGATTCAAGTTTAATTGTTCCATCCTATGACCTACTATTTATATAAAAAAGAGCTAATTCATGTTTATCTTAAATTCCAACTAAATGCACTAATTTATGATTTCTTATTTTAAATTTTCTACATCCATTCATAGCATTTTAGTTTTCCCTGGTATTTAAGAATATTAGAATTTTTTTAGAAATATTTGTGATGATATTCAAGTCCAAAAACACTTTAGTTCACATATGTTGAGGTTGTTAAGCAGTTGTCGGATATAATATACTTAACAAAGTTGCTTTTAACAGTCTTTTGATTTATGGTTAGAACTTTATCATGAGGAATAGTCTCTATTGTTTGTAAAAGTGCTTCCTGGGCCCTTGGCTATATTTAGGTTTCGTTTGGAATGGTTTTCTTTACAAAGCAGCTTTTTAGTATAAAAATTGTAATTTTTATATTAGAAAACCGTTTTAAGAAGCATGAAGAAAACCGTCCTAAACGAAGCCTCATATTATTGCTTAGATGTATCATAACATTTCTCAGATATTCCGGTGCTATTAAAAAATAAACAAATTTAGACTTTAGAAGTGCTGTTGGAGAATCTCAGCCATCCAGTTCTTTTTAGATTACTAATATTCAGCCCATCAAAATTAGTGGTTTAAGAAAAAAATGAACTGATCTCAGCCATCCAC